GGGGAATTCTGGGAATTGAAGTCCACCCATCTTAAAGTTGCCAAGGTTGGACATCCCTGCCCTGTAACCCGACAAGATCCAGTCTTAAAGCCAGAATCTTCTGAATATGGACATATACCTTCTCTATGTCTTGGGATATTATTTGTGTCAATATGTTTGAGAAGGAAGGAGAGCATACCACATTGCAAGTATTTTGCATACCAGTATGCAAAATTCTGGTATAGAGCCTCACTTTTGACAAGATGGTGAAGGCTTCGGGGTCCAGGATCAGGATTTCCATGTTCTCCGTCCCGACCACCAAGCAGCTGATCGCGTCCTCTTCCACACGGTTCTTCTTCAGAGTGGCCATACAGGTGATCACCGTCTGAAAAACACCCACAGTAGCCCGGGAAAATAAGGAAGGCATTTTATTCCATGAAATCAGCCAACAGAAATAACAGGTAATCCTCGACTTACAGCCGCAATGGAGCGCTACCTTTCAGTTGTTAAGCGAAACATTTGCCAAGTGGATGTTTCCCCATTTTACGGCCTTTCTTGCCACAGTTGTTAAATGCATCGCTGGAGCTATTAAATTAGTGAGGAAGTTGCTAAGAGAAACTGGCTACCCCATGGACTGTGCTCGTTGGAAGGGCGCAAAAGGGATCACGTGACCTTGGGACACAGCAACGGTCATAAGTACGAACCAGTTGCCAAGCACCTGAATTTTGATCATGCGACCAGGGGGAACGCTGTAAAGGTCATAACTGTGAAAAACAGTTGTAAGTCTCCTTTTTTAACTTTAATTTTATTTTTTAAAAACAGTTTATACGTTTCCACATTACATACATATGTGCTTAGTGAACAGCATATTGTCTGGATCATTTTGCTTATATAACAATACTTTTCCAGTTCCTAATTCCTACCTCTATTATCCAACCATTTGTAAAACAATTGCTACCAACCTGCCTTCCATGGCGGACCTGTATACTGCACGAATCAAAAAGAGGGCTGTGAAAATATCTACAGACCCCTCACATCCTGGACATAAACTGTTTCAACTCCCACCCTCAAAACGACGCTATTGAGCCCTGCACACCAGAACAATTAGACACAAGGACAGTTTTTCCCCCCAACGCCATCACTCTGCTAAACAAATAATTCCCTCAACACTGTCCAACTATTTACAAAATCTGCACTACTATTACTATTAATCTTCTCATCACTCCTTATCGCCCATCCCCTCCCACTTGTGACTGTATGACTGTAACTTTGTCGCTTGTATCCTTACAATTATTATTAACTGTTTCCTAGGATGATTTGATTGCTTATTGTACCCTATGACTATTATTGTGTTGTACCTTATGATTCTTGACTTTGGACGAATGTCTCTTTTCTTTTATGTATACTGAGAGTATTTGCACCAAGACAAATTCCTTGTGTGTCCAGTCACACTTGGCCAATAAAAGAATTCTCTTCTCTTCTATTTCTCTTTTCTTCTATTTCTCTTCTCTCTTTTCTTATGATTCTTGACGAATATATTTATTTTTTCTCTTATGAACACTGAGAGTTTATGCACCAAAGACAAATTCCTTGTGTGTCCAATCACACTTGTCCAATAAAGAATTCTATTCTATTCTATTCTATTCTATTCTATTCTATTCTACAACAAATCCCATGTTCGAAAAATACTCTGTATCTTTTTCAGTGCCGTTGTAACTTCAAACAGTCACTAAACGAACTGCACTATTGGATTCCAGGGTACAGACCTGACGTTTGATGGGCTGGAACTTATGCTGGTTCACAAAGGACTCCATCTCAGAGAGTTCAAGGGTCAGGAATCTATAGAGAAGAGAAAAGACGGTGAGAGAAATATAGGTGGTCCTCCATTTACAACAGTTCATTTAGTGACCACTCGAAGCTACGACAGTGCTGATGAAAGTGACTTGCAATTGGGTTATTTTTTTCCACACTTACGGCCGTAGTAGCATCCCTTTGATCAAAATTGGGACACCGGGCAACTGGTTCATATTTACGACGGTCGCAGTGTCCTGGGGGTCACGTGATCCCCTTTAAGAGACTTTCAAAGTCAACAGGGAAGCTGGATTCACTTAACAACCGCGTTACCAACTTAACAATGGCAGCGATTCACTTAACAACAGTGGCAAGGAAGGTGGTAAAAGTGGGGCAACATTCATGCGACAACGGTCTGGCTTAGCAAGAGACGTTTGGGGCTTAATCCCGGTTGAAAGTCGAGGACCACCGATATAGATTCCCAGTCAAGAACTACCACAAAAAAAAGAGAGAACATTTCCCACAACCGGTGGGATGTCCCACGCAAGCCAACACCTCCAACGTGAGACGCTCACCTCAAAGACTGCACCGAGAGGGGCATTTCGGCATTTTCTCTGGGAAGGAAGAAGAGAAGACACACATTAGAGTGAGCTACGGGTACAGCAAAGAGCCAAGAGGATTTCCCAGCTCAAATTCAAGCTGAACCTGGATGCCTCTAGAAGTTGTGAATGCTCCAACATCGGATGTTTTTAAGAAGAGACCCTTCCAACTTTGTTATTCCTCCCTCCCTCCCTCCCAGAAAAGAAGGTTTTAAAGGTTTTTTTTTAATGGATCAGAAGAAGAACAATTCACCCTTTGTGGGGTCGAGATTCTCTTACCTGATGGCTTCCAGCATCTCTTTCATTGACAGAAGATCAACCTTGTCCTGTGCACAGAGAGAGAGAGAGAGAGAGAGAGAGAGAGAGAAAAGGGCATCAGACACATAATGCAACCCCCAGGATTACGGTTGTAAGAGTAGGGGTTATTTAAGTCTCTTTTTTTGGATAAAGAAATAATCTGAACTGAATTGGATACAAGTGTGTGATTAGACACACAAGGAATTTGTCTCTGGTGCAGAAGTACTCAGTGTACATGCAAAGAAACAGGAGCACAATGAGGAGCGGGAGTCAAGGTGGAGAACATAACTAGCACACCTACTTTCCTTCTATTTTCCCCACAACAGCAACCCTGTGAGGTGGGTTGGGCTGGCAAAGAGTGACAGGCTCAGCTGGCTTTCATTCCTAAGGCAGGACTAGAACTCACCATCACCTGATAACTGGCCCAAAGTCACCCAGCTGGCTTTCACGCCTAAGGCAAGACTAGAACTTGCCATCACCTGGTGATTGGCTCAAAGTCACCCAGCCAGCTTTCATTCCTAAGGCAGGACTAGAACTCACCATCCCCTAGTAACTTGCTCAAAGTCACCCAGCTGGTGTTCATGCCTAAAGCAAGACTAGAACTCACCATCCCCTAGTAA